ACTTATATAGAAAAAAAGTTATTTCCATATAAGTGTCAACATTTTTTTGAAACGTCCTGTATAATACAAAATATCTCAGAACTTGCGACCTCAATTTTACTAAATGTTCCTTTGACCAATCAGAAGCTAGTTAATTTTTTTCTAAAGAACACAATATTACCCTCGCGATATACGATGGGCGGACGTGATACAGAAAATCCGTCGATCGCTAAGTATTCGAGATGAAGATCAACCGAAGATAAACGCTGAATTCCAGCGGCACGAAATAGCGTACGAACATATTATCCCCATAATTGTGTCTTCATTTCTGGCAGCTGAAAACCGTCGTCATCGGCGGCACAGCCCACAATACACCACTACCAGCGGACACTCACGCACACGCTCGTTCCTTGACCGTGCGCGTCCATGTGAGAGTGAGATTAAAGGGCGCCGACGATACGTGCGAGGGACTTCCACACTAATAATACCTACAAGGGTGGAGACGCGCGGAGAGGAGCGGCGGGCACACCGTCTTCACGGCGACTTGTGGAAGCGGTCGTCTGCGTATATATCCTGAGACGACTGAATGTCCCCTCGAGCACACAACCGACAGATAAACTAAACAGATTCTCGCGACCGAGGTATCGGGTAAGTTCAATTTGCCGCGTAACATGTTAATATTTTACATAGCGACACACTAATGGTCGACATCCTGTTTCGAGGTACTTGGAAATTTTTTTACGAATGAAGGGGATAGACTGTTGCAGCTTCGTGTTGCTGTGCGTCCGAAAACGCGACGCACTTCTCAATGTAAAAATATATTTACGTTATTATCCATTGAGACCATTAATTATTTTTCAGATATTTCTTCCCTCAGTGTACAGTTTTGTATCTCAAATTTTCAGATTAAAATCAATTGGTTTTCATCTTGACTCGTTTTGTCAAGAGATTAGAATTCGACTGATTTTCGAGATCCCTAATACGAGATTTCTGATTAGAGATTATAATCAAGATAGATACAGTTTCATTTTTCAAATTGCCAATATTTTCACAGTATTTACAGGGAGACCAACTCTTTCATGTATCTTCTTATCTCAATCTCCTTCACAATTTAGTACCTGCCGAGTAAGAAGAAAATTAAAAACTTGTATATATCTGGGATCACTTGTATTACCAATATGATGTACATATTGGAGAGCTAAAGACCAAAACAATAAGAATGTTCAGAGTTAGATACGCGTCCAGGCACACATTGGCACTTTTACTTTATAGTTTTGTTTTTACCGGGACAGTTTATCGAATCGCGATCGCGTTGTTTGAAATTGATTTATTCTCAGCTCTCGATCGTCGGATCAACCTTGGCCTTGTGCCGTGTGCGCGACCCCGGCCGCTTTGCAAAATACACGGATCCGTTATCATCGTCGCATTATACGCACGCACACGCGCGACGGAGAGTTCGTTTACTCCAATTTGTTTACGTTCATCAGGGTCGACTCGCAGCCGTGGTGCGTGAGCGCATACTGGCTTCGTCACTCTCTCCCTCTCTCTCTCTCTCCCCCCTTCTGCCTCGCTCCGTGAATAAAGAGCGTTAAAATATCGTCCCATTATCGGATACTCGCGTAGACCACCAAGGAAACACCTTATCGAACAAATTGCTCCGATTTAAGTCGCCGCGCCGAAAAGATTAAACGCGCGCGATAACAACGTAAAAATTGGGTGATTGCAGCCCTCCTTCTTCGGGAAAAAATGCATCGTACACAAACACTCACCCACACGTGGGTGCCGCATCACTTCGATGTATCCCGACGAGTGTGTGAACGAAACTAATTCATCACGTTCCATTATCATCCCGCGCATAAATCCTCGTCGCGAGAGAGACAGCCTCCCTCCTTCTTTTTGTGTGTGTGTATGTGTGTGTGTGTGTGAGGAGGAAGAGGGAAAAAAAGAGCAGAAAAAGAGAGACGTATGCATGCACATCTCCGCACGCATACACACGCAACGCAACGCACGCTCTCGCCTTGTGGAGGCCGGGGCCACTGACTCACTGACTCATTCGGCATAAACGCGAAGCACGAAGAGTCTCCTCTCCGGCAAGTCGCTCCGTTGACAAGAAAAGTGGAGCATCGACCTCGAATTTCGTCTTTTTGTCCTTCGCCGACCGTCACCCACCTCTCCCTCACACCCTCCTTCCTTCCCTCCCTCTGGATATATCGCGCGATTGTGCAATCGTAAGAGCCGCGTCGTGGAATCTCGCGTATCGAGCTTGTCGCTTTGCGAGCTGATCTTCCGCAATCGCGGGAGCCGGTCGAGGATCCACGAGAAGAAACGAACTTTCCTTATTTTTGTCGTAGAGACGCGAATAATAAATACATCTTTTACAAAATTCCAAGTTTCTTTTTAATCTTTTTTATAAGCATCACACGCAGTTTCAGCTTGAGAATCAGAAAGGCGTGAGCGTTTGCCGTGCGTTCAAAATACGACGGCCACGGAGACGTGCGCTCTCTTTCTCTCTGATGATCCGACGAAGAAAAGCGCGGCCGGCGCACGATCGCTTCCTCGATCTCGACGGGACGGGACGACGAGCCGCGGGTATACGAGCTCGGATCCGCGATGTGGAAATCGCTCGGCGAGCGACCACCCAGCGCGACTATCGCGAGCAAAAAGTTCGCGAGGCCTGCCACCGCCGCTCGCCTCGGCGCTTCGCTTCGTCTCTTATTATACGAAGGGTAGGTTGTATGCGCGAGTTTCTCTCCGGACCATCGGTCGACGGGGAGAGGGACGAGGAGAAGGCGGGAGGAAGATACGCAGTTGAAACGCGATTGAAAATAGTATCAACCACGCGGACTCAACACGTTGTGCTGCTTGTTCGTTCAGTTTCGTAGTGAACGAATATACGAGATAAAGGTGAGACAGAGAGTGGTTCCACAGAGAGAGAGAGAGAGAGAGAGAGAGAGAGAGAGAGAGAGAGAGAGAGAGAGA